ATGAATGCGCGTTCTCGACATCACGAGCAAATTCTCGAGAAATCGAATTTATCAGATGATCTTCTCATGATTGCAAGTAACCAACTGGTAGTTCTATTACAGAATGAGACTTATTCAGTACCAGAATAAGCTGGTAACTAAGAAGACAATCTTGGCAATATGAATGAATATGAACCATCCTGGATAACAACAGCAAGAAAACGCCTTCGTTCAACTTATAAAGATAGCATATAAACATTCCAAGGACATTGGAGGGCAAATATGAGCACATAATTGACGGTAACCGAGAGCATTTGACCTGTTCAATTGCACAATATGAACCAACTGATATATGACATGAATTGTTTGAAGGATCGATTACTGTTTTAATTGGCTGATTAACTGACTATTATTATTAGGATCATTATTAAAATTATCATTATACTTCGTTAGAATACACTGATTGTCCTGGTGAATTCGCGAATCGGTTATTTAGTTGTTGATGTATGTTTGTGATCGTGAAACACGCAAAAACTAAAGCTCAAGAATATTCTTTTGAATTTGAGAATCTCAACGAAACAAGACGATATCTACCATGAAAATAATAATAATAATAATAATAATAAATGCGAAAGATTATTCGAAAAAAAAGAACACACCCCAATAATTATCATATAAATGCACACCGTCATCAACGTAAAAACAAACAACCGAAGCTGATTGCCTATGCACCTATTTATAGATAAGTCCAAAATTCAACGTCAAAGTGTATTACTTAAAATTTCATCAGCCAGAAGAGAAAAAACAACAATCAGCGATTAGACAGTCGATATCATTGTCATACAAAAAGTGAATATTCTACTTATACGAGATAACTTGGCCCATTACATTACATCAAAAACTTGTTCTTTGATCGAAACGATCGCAGTGACTCAAAATTGCATCATCCGTGTGTCTTGTCAATCTTTCCACAATTAACTTTAAAAACTATAGGGATACGTCCAAACTCATCCGCTCAAATTAATTGAGACTTACGATGGACTAACAATCAACCACGAGATTCTTATGTTGTTTCTTTCGATTCACATAAAAGCGGTGTAATGACTGGTGAGTCGTGAAGAAGTTTTTGAATATTTTAAAGTGATATTTAAATTACCAGAATTAGAATTANATGACTGGTGAGTCGTGAAGAAGTTTTTGAATATTTTAAAGTGATATTTAAATTACCAGAATTAGAATTACCTAAGTAGAATATCAACAGTTTGATTGACAGATTGTTTATGCATAGAGCCATTAGATCTAGAATAATGATCTATCTTGCAGAGGATCATTGAGGAAATGTTTAGGGGGATAGTTTGATAAAAATAAAAACGAAGATTTATTTAATATTTTGTTCAATGTGGATTATTATCATGGTTATGAATGACAATGTGTATGACTGTTGTTTTTGCTGATTCAGTTGATTGAGCCAGTATTAATTGAGCTCTTATTATAAGGACAACATAATGATATGACTCATTCATAGACTAATTTACTGACTATTATAAGATTATTATCGAAACGGTTATTATGCCGTTCGCTGTCATTCGATTCTGTTTGTAGGCATCGATGCATTTATGAATTCTCAAATCGACGTCATTATTGCTACGGTTTAATTACTCAAATTTGAGGTAATTGGACTGATAAACGATTCTACCACAAGTTGCAATCGTTACACCAATTATGCTTTGTTCGACAGTCATACTTTATTTCCTCATCGAAGACTACTCTGACCGCTGTCAATCTTCTTTTATCGAAATAAATCTATTGAAAAACTTCGTTTNCTCATCGAAGACTACTCTGACCGCTGTCAATCTTCTTTTATCGAAATAAATCTATTGAAAAACTTCGTTTCCTCCCGACAGTCTTCCTGATATGTTTTAATTTTGTTCCAATACAATAGTGTAATAATCATAATACATATTTTTCGAAATATTATGTTTTAACTATCTTCGAATGTGATGGTTTGATTATCCAATTCTGACAGTAACTGTTTGAAAGCACTATGTAACAATTGGAGCCAGTCGTTCGAACCAGATGTATCAAATGAAAGGGAAACTATTTTGAGTCAAAAGCATAATATAACTAATCGTTGCAGTCCATTATCACCAAATTAAAGAAAATCGCTCTATTTGAGCAAAAAAGTTACTTAATTTTATCGATAGAAAAAAGCTCGTTTCTCAGTCTCATCAAAGTACTTCTTCATTATCCGCACAAGGCTACACGAATCGATTTCAAGTCAACAATTCGCCTGTGCATAACCACTGGAGGAGAAAGGAAACTTTAATAGACCTGATCCAAAACAGAGTTCAGTTTTCATTTCCATTACCCGCAATCGATAGGAAGTTTTCTAGCCCCAAACTGTTTTCACAAAACAGCGAACAAATGAAATAACATAAGAGGAAAACGTAAACATCAGAAAATATCGTTCCAAAACGGCAGATATTGCACTGATGTCGAATTGTACAGACTTTTATCCATTCAATGCAAACAACTTTCAAGTCTTTATGCCAACAGAACAATTTTTATTTCATTCAAACTTCACAAACGCCAAAATTTTCATTTCTTTTCATAATTTTTTTTTGCTTACAATCAACACAAGCAACACGAGGCGAGCACTAATCGTGAGTGAGTTAATTAAAAATGAATCGAATAGTCAGAAAAAAAAAAACAGTTAAAATGCAACAATAAAAAAAAGTGGAATGATAGAATTATTAAAACTATTGAACAATATTTTCGATGATATTAATTACACTGAATCAGCCAAGCAATCAACGTAGAGTAAGTGACCAATCAATTAAGTACACTGATAATCATGATAATCGCTCATATTTACAAAAACAGAACACTGCC